CTTTTTCGTTGGCAGAGGGTGTGCCAAAAAAAAAAATTTTTTATTTGAAATCATCAATATTTGCAGTCGGCAGGTTTCGCTGGTATAAAAGAAGTCTTGCCTTACCCCATGTACATAATAAAGCTGGTAATTTATAAAGCAAGTCCACTAATTTTAAAATTCTTAACTTCTTTGGCATGAAACTGGGCCGGGGTAAAACTTACACTGTTCCCAAAGCCAACAAGTTACTTCATGCTTCCAGCTCTACGACTAGCCTAGTAGTTGGCCTGTCAAGAAAAATTTTGGCCGAAATCTGTCCGCTGGACATTTTTTTGCCCAGACCAATTTTGGCGTGACAGGCCTAATTTTAGGACCTATAGACTAATTATGCAAAGTGTTGAATTTTTTGTTGCAAACCTCTATTTAGATGGTGGGCTTGTACCCAGGTGGAGACTTTTGCATTAAGATCAAAACTGCATTAAAAACATACTGCAAATTGAAAGGACTGTCTAGCACTATTGAATTTTGGGTTTAACAGGTTAATGTTCTCTCAAATTTTATAAAGTTGATGGGAAAAAATCAAGTCATCGACCTTGTATTAAATAGGATTATTTTGTGAACAACAGTTTTTGTTCTTTTGAACAACAGTTTTTGTTCTTTCTAGAGATGAGAGATAAAGAAGAACTTTTGATTTGAGCAACCAAAATTGGTTTCAATCAACGCAAATTCATTCATGTATGAATATCAGGTTTTTTTATCTGATGGAAATTTTATTTCAATAGCATTTCACCAATGAAATAGTATTCAAAATATATTTGTATGTAAGGAAGGTGCCATTTGATTAGTTCTAGCTGAATGCACTACCCTCACAAAAAAAATAGGTTGACGACTTCCCATGAAATTAAATTAAAAAGTTATATACAACATTACAGGCCTGTAACTGGTGGTGGGATGGGGGGAGTTGGGGTTCAGCCGATCCCTTTTCGACTCCATTCCATGAACCTGGTGATGGCCTGATACACCACGAAATAGGGTAACTGGGATGGTTCAACTACTTTTTTTTTTTAGACCTCATGGGAAATAAACCAGCATTTCACCAACACTCGTACTGTAGTGAATACCATGTGCACTGCTTACACCGATATTCATTAAAGGCATATCATGTTATCACGCCTGATTACTTATTTAAACTACTTATTACCACCTCACTGGCTTTGATTCGACAAAATAATTTGAAACCTACAGGTGGATAGCTGCAACACAATGTTAATTTCCTTCAAAACTCTCCCTCTGAAAATGTCAATCATATAGCTATTGAACTCGCCAATCAATAACCTTGAATAAGCGAATAAAATGGAACCGTGAAATTGAAACCTATTTAGGTTAGCACTCCATAAACAGATTATTACCCACCTCGGAAAATATCATTACTTAGATTCCTTAACACTGTCTTAACTGAATAGTTTTTCGCACCTTATTGGTTTACTCGTTTCCGATATGTTTCACAGACCTTGGAGTTATTGAAGGTCGTTGTGGAGTGCTGTCAGGCATATCGGTTTCTCATACACCTTCTTCAACGGTTGTCCACAGCAGTAGTTACACGACTGGCGTGTGGTGAAAAAATAACGGATTGCGATTCATTGATTTTGTAATTTGCCACAATTTTTTGGTTTTATTGTTTATGGCTAATTGATCATACTGTAGTACTTCAATTAGTGCATGCCAGTGTAAACGTGTTAAAAACACATATTCCTTCAACTATATGCGATTTGTGTCTGGATGATGTGTGAAGGGAAAATTCATGATTATATTCTCAGCCGAATTTAATCAGCAAAACTTGTAAATGATCGTTTAGTAGAATAGTCTGTGCATTCTATAATGGCAATGATCGTTTAGTAGAATAGTCTGTGCATTCTATAATGGCAACAAGGCCCATTATATATACAGTAAACTCCTTGTGAAATCATTTTTTCTGTGTAGAAACTAATGTATTGAAATGTTACCTACAGTACTACCTGTATAGATAGAATTCATAAAAAATATGTATTAACAAAGTAACATATTCTATTAATATTTCGAAATAAGATAAAAACAATTTTTTAAAGAATACCGGTATTTTTTGCCTGCTGTTTTCGTGAAAGATGCAACAAATCTACCGATGAATTCATCTTTACGGGTCACTGTTTGAGTGATAGTAATGTAACAACTGCCTCAGCGTGAGTTTATTCGGGCCTTGTGAAGTTCAATGCTAAGGCCTGAACTTCATTACATTCTGGGCAGACTGAACCGTAGGAGGTCTTACATCCAGATTTCGCCTTTGGCTAGTTTGGCAAATACCTTAGCAAAGCTGATTTTAATCCTTTTAATTTTGCTTACTGGAACTGTTTAATTGTTGTGTGGTGTAATATCCAATCATTATAGAGGTGAAAGTACACTTAATTAAAATGTCACAAGTCACACAAACAGATAGTAAATTGATAAGTAGATACACAGGCATAGTTTATGTTTTATTTACAAGAAACAATCATTGCTTTAGAGTTTAAGAAATATTTTCACAAAATCAGCTACAGCACAGTATTCCTTATATTATAATATATATATATACTGTAATAATAATAATAATGATAATAATATTTATGATAATGGTAATAATAATATTTATTTGGAAAATTGCTTTCGAAACAGCTGCACACATGCATCATAGCCAAGGTGCATCCATACACAAAACAACAATAAAGAATATAAGATCACATCAATCAATGAAGAAAATAAATTAAAAAAAAAAAAAAAAAAATTAAAGCCAGTTACATCATAAGGCCTAGGACAATGTATAGAAGAAAGAGAATTATACACAAACAAAAAAATTAAATAAAGGTATTTTAGCACTGCTTGTAGCTCTGATGGTTAGCAGTTCCCCGGGCTGAGAAAGTTTGTGGCATTGGTTTCCGTATTACTGTATGCTACATGTAGACCGCCTTTGTCACATCATATTGTTTAAATATTCTTCGATATAATAGTTCAATATGTGCAAAACCTATGCCATGACAATTTTACTGCATCTGCATGCAAAGTTCATAATCGATATATAATACTATCTATCTATGTCATTCTTGTATAGTAACTTCCTATTTTAGTTAGTCATATAATATCATATTCATAATCTGTCTCTTATACCCATCTAGATGTGTATAAGAGACAGCCTGGTGATGCCTGTCTCTTATACACATCTAGATGTGTATAAGAGACAGGCCTAGGACAATGTATAGAAGAAAGAGAATTATACACAAACAAAAAAATTAAATAAAGGTATTTAGCACTGCTTGTAGCTCTGATGGTTAGCAGTTCCCGGGGCTGAGAAAGTTTGTGGAATTGGTTTCCGTACTACTGTATGCTACATGTAGACCGCCTTTGTCACATCATATTGTTTAAATATTCTTTGATATAATAGTTCAATATGTGCAAAACCTATGCCATGACAATTTTACTGCATCTGCATGCAAAGTTCATAATCGATATATAATACTATCTATCTATGTCATTCTTGTATAGTAACTTCCTATTTTAGTTAGTCATATAATATCATATTCATAATATTGCAATATCTACTCATTATGATTTTCCTGTTCATTTCCTGTATAACCTCGTTAATGTCGTATCCAAATGCATTGAGATAGCAGCCATGAACCACATAATACAAATCCATTTGTATAATGAGTACTGTACTTAATTACCATCCGTATAAGTTACAGTGTAAAACGTTTGCTTTTCGGCCGTAATATGGCAAAACAACTTAACTACTGTTATATTTTTGTGCAGTTACCTTGTTTTACTTTGTAATGGCCACTTTGTTCTTCAGTTAAATATTAGGTACTGTATATCCACAGATCCTGTAACCTTTCAATCTTGCTATTATTGTCTTCGTTTTTACTACCGCACTTTTTTTTGTTTTTTTTTTTGTTATACTATTGTTTTTATTGTTTATTTTATTATACTTAATGTTATTTTTATTATTATTATTCTTAATATCCTACAGTCAAAATTTTTACTTAATTACTATTGGCTAATGATGTACTACTAGTCTTTGTCATGAATAATTACCTGGATAAACCAATTACTGTAATTAGTAATATAAATGTAACAGTTAGTCCTGGAGGAAAAAATAAGAATTTTATATGTTGTATAACTGGTTTTTCTAAGATAGAAAAAAAATTGTTTAACAAATAACTGGGGAATGGTTAATGAGATAACAGATTTTTGAATATTTAAAAACTGGGGGAAAAAGGTTGGTTACGCCCCTTTTTTCCCCCAGTTTAAAAATCTGTATCTCATTAACCGTTTTTCGTCAAACAACTTGTTTCTGTCTTTAGAAAATCTGTTCTGCAACATACCATAATTTTATTTTCCTCTGGTGCCTGACTTTAATACATCCTTATTCTTTTTCAAAAGACAAGTGTGGGACCTCCATGGTAAGACCTAAGCCTATTTATTCTCCCACCCCCTTGCAAGCAATAGTAAGTCTTGTGTGTCTTTGTGTAAATTTGTGATGGATGAGTCACACTCTAATACGCAAATGATAATTCCTGATATTTACAGTTAAGTCAATTTCACACCAACTACACTATTCTATTATGTTTATTCTTTCTATATGCTTGATGGATCCTTTGGATATAATTATCTATTCTGTGCCTCTGAGTATTACTGTATATCAAGTTTTATAAAATAATTATTCATATTTCAGTAAAAATTACTTTTTTATTATTACAAGTAAAGTCAGCACTGCTATTAAAGTTGAAAACAATGGTATTGCATTAGTATTATCAGATGCCATTTGCTTATTGTTTTCATTCATATGGTACATTGTTAGGCATTTTTTTTATATTTATGCAAATGAGGACTAACAAAAATGTAGCCTTAATAATGCAGACATAAATGAAAGTACGTTGATCGTATACAAGCAATTTAATAATGAGAATGCCAATAATTTGAACAATAAATGTATTTGATGTCTTTATTTATTATAGGCTTTGCGGCAACATCAATCCAGCCATCAAGTATACGACCTCAATCAACCTACTTGCCCGCTGACCTGGTGTCCGATACAAACTCGTCGTACTTTATACAAGCTCGAAAAATAAATGCCGAGGAAATCTTACTTCACAAGAATATCACCTACAGTGGGCATGGTCTGTTTGTAGACAAATTAGTTGGAGATGTACAGCCCTATGGGGGCACTGTTCAAGCATCTTATGGACCTTTTCGTGTTTTCCAGAGTGACTTTTCAATATTCAATAGCACTGAAATATATAACTTGAACATACAAACTCATATTTTAACAAAAACTATTCAAGCATATAGTCCAAGTTTAAACATGTTTTTTCATTTGGATCATAAACAGTTTAGTATGTTGCATGATTTGGCTGTTTGTGTTGATCTGCACATTTTTTACACAAAGGGAGAGATCCTATCATCATGCATGCTTAGTAAATCAACGGGCTGCTGTTTCCTCGACGTCCCAATACCAATGGATTGGTGGCTAGAGATATCAGACACTTCATATCAAAACTCAAAAATGCAACTGTCGTACAGTATATCAAAAAGTGTCGGAGGTGAATGCAGGCGAAAAGGTAATAGCTTGAAAAGTAGAACAATGTCAACTACGCAGAGAGTAGAGGAAACAAGACAAGCGCCCCCTGTGTATTTAGGAGAAATTCCACTTCAACCATTAGTGGGACATTATACTCCAGTTAATGATGACAGTAGAATTATCATCAAAGTTCCCGACAACAAAGACGTGAACCCCACTCATGGATTTCTCATCCCCGTTAGCATTCCTCAAGATTATGCAGCAGATTCATTTTCTATCAAGTAAGTTATTTATCTAATTATATAATATATTACTAACTATGTAATTAATACATAAACCAATCATTTGAAATAGATTAGAACAGTACTTTTTCACATGAAATTATATGCTGTTACCTTATATGTAAGGCGAAACTTTCTTATTCCTTGTTTCGTGAACTTCTTTTTTTAAAGATGTCAGAGGAGGGCGGGAAAAAAATAAATATAAAATTTTGTTTTCTTATCTAGCAAAAGTTTTGCCAAAAACATCCAGACGGAGAAGAAAATAAAAATATAATATTATTTTTTAATGTAAATAGTGTACTAATGGATTGGTTAATTGGCAAAATATAAAAATTTTTTTTAATTCAAATTCATTATTATTGGCATGTGGTAGGTTCCCTAAACAAGGTATTAAATAGTCTCAACAAACTTGGTAAAAGAATAATCTACTATTTTCCATTTCAATGTTCCTATACTGTATCTTGATTTATTTCCTATAGTATCTCACTGTATAGAATGTGGAAGAACCAATTTTAACATAAAAATCTAACAACACCAGAAATAGGTCAGATGTAATTCTGATATATTTTTAACCCATGCTCTCTTAAGCCTGGTTCACATCAAACTTTATCTAGATATACCCGTCTTGAAACATGATATACGATAATCCCCTAATTGCGTTCGATGCCAAGTTAGAGCCAGATAAACAGTCAGCCAGTTTCAGGCCGTTGACGTCACACGGTGGGAAGGGTTGTTTAATAAAACACCTACTGTATTTTACGAACCTCTAGTACCAAGTGGTATTCGTTCAAAAAATTCGCGGTGTCAAATAAGTTGCTGACTTCCACACACTTTTTTATTTCATCATCGTAAAAATGTGCGCTCATTTTAACGACTGGCGTTGGTGGTAAACTGAATTAATTGCGACTATTATAGCAGAAATGGAAAAGATCGAATTGTCAATAAATAAATACAATAAATCTGATTTTATTATTAAGAAAAATATACATTATCACTTGGAAAAACATACGCAATCTGACTTTTTAACGTTATTACTTGGTCGATGATGCAAAGGGCAAAGGTCATTGGTAATATCGACGTAAAACGGATGTTTGCTGGGTTTTTACTCATAGTATTACAAATAATTTCTGAAAACCAGACTAATGAGACTACTTCGATGCTGTTGTTAGCATTGTTAAAGTACGTTGTTGCCAGCCAGAAGATGGTAATGGTGGTACAATAAAACATCACTGGCTTAGATGCCTATGTTACGTAATCGTGTCCTTGTACTGTAATCCGAGCCGAATTTACTGTAAGCAAGTTAATTTACCGTTATTCTAGTAAAGTTAAGTCACTTAACTTAAGTGACTTAATTCCTTCATCTAGCTATAATTGAGTAGTTCACGTCAAACTTTTAACTAGTTAATGGGAATGGTAATGGTGGGATATTTGTAGTGCGCCTTCCACAATAAAATCGTCTCAAGGCGCCGAAAAAAGTTAGGACCAAGAATTTTTTAAAATTAAATTATATTATATCTTATATTAAAGAGCCTATATTAATCAGAATATTTTTTTAAAATTTTATTTATTATAAGTTAAATAAATATAAATAAATGAATAAAGTAAATAAATAAACAAATAGAAAATAAATAAATAAATAAATAATTGATAAATTAAGTTAAGTGGATATATATCTGGATAAAAGTTCGATGTGAACCAGGCTTTGTGTATAAGTAAAATCATTTGCATTGTAATTAGATAATTAAAGCGAAGAGTAAAACATCAGTTATAAAGCTCCAAGCCAATGCATAACATATGGCCTTAATTACAGCCAAAATATGTTCTATTTGCTAATATAACATTTAATTTACTGATAGTTTACGCTTCTTCATGAAACCTATATTCATTTTCAAGGATGCCTTCAAATTTGCCAGTTCGCTCTTTACCGAAGATGAATCACACTTAGTAGCATTAAGTTCTGATTCAACACTAATGTTGTTGCCGTTTCATTCATTACGAAAATCGTGGGGAAAAAAAGCCATTAAAAAAAATATTCAAGAAACACTCTGTAAAAGCACTTGCATGACCCACTTGTACTAGTGACCTATTTTAATGTCTTCTCATTATAACATTCTATAATTACTAGTTTTTGAGGGGTTATTTTGTATTTGTTGATAACAATGAGATTTGGAACAGAAGGCCTCTTTCTGGGGATGTTTGCATTTATATTAGACTCAACAAAATATATTAAATATTCATTGATAGTAGATGTCCAAGAATTATTGCTTTTGTCTGCGATGCATCTTGTAGATTAAATTTTCCATTGATTTTTCAAATTAATTTAATATGATAACAGAAACAAATATTGGTAGAACTGTATAATCCACATTTTTTAACTTTTCACACATTTTGTGAAGAAAGTTTAAAAAAAAATGAGGCAGTCAAGAAAAAAAAAAAAAAAAAAAAAAAAAACCATAAGCATGTCAGAGACCTCAAAACATAATTAAAAAAAAAATTTAAGCTTTTACAAACCAATCAATGGTAGTAAATTAGGAAATGATAATAAATCAGAATTTTCAGATCAGTCTATCTATAGCACAGGTGGGCAAAGTGCAGCCTGACAGCAATTTATTTTTTTGCGGAATGCGACAATGAATTAAAAATCCTATGTGTGCAGCCCCGCCAAGCAAAATTGGCTAGAAAACACCTTGTATTTTACGGCCCGACACCAATCATATGTAAAAAGTAACATTAAAACTTAGAATAAAGTGGTGTAAAAGCAGTGCTTGGAGGTTTTTGGAAGCTCACTGGAAACATCAAAGTTTGGGTGCAGCCCTTGATATTAAATCAAAAATTCACTTTTGCCCCTCCGACCGATTTTTATGCCCACCCCTGATTACAGTATTGCCCGAAGATAGGTTTATCTTATGACAGGATAACAAATATTTATTTGTTTAAATCATACTTCAATTTAAACTAAGTGACAATGGCTGTAATGTCAAGAACACAAATGAAAACTTAAAATATAAGTTTTAATCACTTGAACACACCAGGCAAAGGATGCACCTACAGTAGATAACATTTTAAAATGAGAAGAGATGTTATTAAAGTATCCATGTTATTAATTAGTGGACATTTTTTTTGCTAACGACAATCATAGAGGTTTAAAATTATTTTTTACCTCAATGCCACACAACCCATCCAGATTTGAAGTTGATAAAAATATGGTAGGAAGCACAATCTATCATGGTTGGAAAACCCAGTGGTAAACACAACATGTTCTTCCCTTTCAAGCTTGTCTAATGAAAATACCATGTGTTTTGAACAAAGCCTAGGAGGTGATGACAAGAGATAATATTTCTGATATGAAGTCCTCTAAAGGCATCAACAGCTGTTAAGTCATTTTATGTTGCTGCGCTCTGCAAGTATAGTACAGTAATAATTAATGTATAGAAATCCAAGGAGGACTGTTGAAACAACATAAGATGTATAATATTAGTACCGACTGCTTGCAAACTGTATTGCTTGACCTGTATCTCACCTTTCAATGATGTAGAATTGTGCAAAAATACTTTTGAATTGTTGTACTAAAAGGAAGCAATATGGATTTGATTGTGTGCAGATCATTGTTAATATTGAGTACAAGTTACAGGGTATTCCCACTAGTACAATATCCATTTCTAGTATTAGGTTGTTGAACCCATTTTTAGTTACACAGTTTTTTTTGGTTTTTTTTTCAATGATTTCTAAATAGATTATCTTTATTGATCGGTTTCTGTACTACAAGACGCCAATAAAAATGTTATTTGAATAATAAATATATATACAGTACTTAAACAAAAAAGTGGACCCTAGATTTTCATTGGTTAGGCATGGGAAATTACTTTTACATTTTTGACCCAATAGTAAAGATTATTAATGTTGAATTTAAAATAAATTCTCGAGCATTTAACGAGCGGAAGAAAAAGTAGAATAAGTTACGAATGATTTTTTTTTGGAATAACAGATGTACCATGCCCCTTCCTACTGCATCAATGATATATGAATATAAATTGTGGTATTAATATTTGATCCGGCATTCCCCTGAGCTTATTAATATCTTATTGTTGTCTGGTCATTGACTCTAGTTCTTAGTTATTAATATTCAGAAGCCTTTTTTCATTTGAACACCAGTTATGCTTAATGAGTTATAAGCCTGAAAACGTTTGGAAATTAGAGCATAAACATTCTTCTTAAAAATCTACTGGGAAATTGCAACGTTCTTGATTGATCTGGTCACTCACCTACTGGTGTAAAAGGTAGTTATGAAAAAGAAAGAGAAAAAAATCCCCAAGTTCTCTGCTATAAAACTAATTAGCTGAGGCATTCATTTGATGATGAGGAAGTCGATGCAAAACTCTAAATTAGGTGTATACAGTGGGATGTAATTTTTAAGTAAAGAGGTGATCATATCAGTGTAACACGCAATGAAGATTACATCTACAAAAATTCACGGTACAAAGAAGTCATTGATTTCGGCTTCATCAAAGAACCATTAAATCTCGGAACCTATACTCTTTATAGATAGTAATTAGGCCCGAACTGTGGCCTAGAACAACTAAAATGAGAAAATGAAAACGGCAAGAGATAAAGCCCGGATAAGCTGAATTTGATGACGCTCAGGCCTCTGGTGTTGTACTTTGATTGGTCACTTGGCAATTACTGTGTACGAAGACCCTTATTTAATTTGTTTCCACTTTTCTACTTTGAAACAACCATTTAAAAGAAAGCTTAATGGTTATACAATATTCTGAACATCAAAAGGTTCGCCTTCACCTTCATATACGTTGATTAGCAATTCATAGAGTGTCATTTGATTATTGGCGCCGGTGGGAGTGAGTAAGGTTTGGTAAAAAGGTGAATCATAAGATGCTTGTTTATTGCAGTAAGCTAATGTATGAACTGAAATTAGCTTTCAACTTCATCTTAGATGAAAGATGGCAGATACTATATTTGGAGTGAATCATCAACGATTTTTCACTTGTAACAATAGGGAAAGGACAGAGAAGAAATACTGCCTCAACCCCATATCATTTGATTCCCTCCTACCATATTTGTTCATCACTATGGCCCCTACAATAACAAGCTGCTTGTCAAGAGTTAAAAAGATTTGCCTAAAAATGTGATTTAAAACATTAAAAACTATATTAAAAATAATGTTAATCGAACAGTCACTTTTCAATTTATTAATCACTTAGTTTTTAACATTTTTTCATAGATTTTTTTCATTAAAACAAGCATGACAACTTTTTTTTTTTAGATTATCATAGCAAGAGCACAGTAATATTATATTGCGTATCAATTTATTTGCTTTCGGCTTTTACTAATTATATTGCATCTGGTAAAATTCTATGATGTTTGTCTTTCGTTTATATAGTATTCTATTTTCTTCCTCCTACAGAATTAAACCAAGAAAGGGTTTAAAAGTAAACGATATTTATTTTCACAACATTGATTTGCCATGGCAACACTCCAATAGTTCAGATGAAGAGTCCACGACCGTTTCCTTCACATTGACAACAGCGGAGAGGCTAGAAGCTTTCAACTCACGGTAAAGTATATTTGTATTTCAAAGGACAATAAGAAAAAGAAAATTTTTGAAATTTTATAAATCACAACAAATAATAAAATTATGATTATTTGCAATTGATATATTATAACACAACACCCATGATCACATTGTTGCTAGTTGATATTTTCATCAAAATATATTAACATAAAATTGTATATTAAAATTTCAAGAAAAACTTGATAATACACATCCTACAGAAAGGATAGGCCTATTAATATAATTGAGGATAGGGAGGGGCATTGCATAGGTGTTTTAACCATAATATTTGCTAGGATTTAAAAGCATGTATTCAATAATCTTGTATTAATAATAATATTCAATTTAGTTCTTTATTTCAGACGTGTCCATATATATAAGCAAACAATAATACAATAGTAGTGGCAGGTCAATGCATAGAGATTAAACTAGGATATTAGTATAGTCTTTCTCAGAAGCAAATTGCTATTTGTAAATTCTACCTGGTTTTAAATTGTCATTACTATATGTAGTTGCATTTCTGAAAGTGTGTTTTTTAGGCTAATAAACTGGTATGCTGGCTTAAGAATTGGCCTGAGGCACACAATCTTCTATATTGCACAAACAGGCGTTGCTCATTCTGCCTTGAGATCAACACCCAACCATGCAAAAATCACACCAACCTATCTGATCACATGAAAGACATGGCAACATACTTCTAGGTAGTAGTGTTGTGGAGATAAAAGTTCATGTACCGTATACGCTACCTTGTTTAGTGAACTATATTTCTGAAAAATCGTCAGAGGAGAGGGAAATATAAAAATATTTTTTATACTTGTCATTTAGCAAAATTGATTTATCAAAAGCATATTAGAGGAGAAAATAACATTTGTTGAATAATAAAAAAAAAAATGCTATGTGTGTTATTTAATAATGTGAAAATTGGAATCCTTAGGCCTTTTTCTGTTGCGTGGTCGTAAAGAATGTGATGTTGCATTGTAAACAGTTTATAAATTAGATAGAATAGAACATTTATATCGCGCCGGTATCCGCCAAAAATGATGCTCATGGCGCTTCTGAAAGTGTTTCATCAGTTATATGCAGCACAGAAAAGGAATGTTTTTAGATTGATGGTTTTTATTTATTTATTTGTGAGAAGTTGACATTTTTTTCTTTTAAAATCAGAGTTGGTTTGTTTATACCAAAATTTCAAATTGTAATCTATTTTAAATCTTTGTTTTTTAAACTCTATATAAATCCACTCTCTTAACACCTGTCCAGCCACCATGCCTTTCTGAGAATTTGTCTGTTAAAGCTTCTATCTGTCTTGGATTTGAACTTAATTTGTGAAGGTAATGTGAGCGGTTTATGCAAAAGTAGATTCAGAGAGCCTACATCCTGTATAGTAGAGCTAAAGGTTCAGTTTTCTTTCAATGTTATAAGTGACTCACTTAATTCGATACACTCTCAGTTAATCAAACAAATGGAGGAAATTCTTAAGGGAGTTTTAAATGAAATTGATTGAACCAGTTATCTTAATGAGTTTGTATCCATTTGAAGTGAATTGTTTGCATTTACTTTATTTTTATTACGGTCTCTTCCATTGTTCTTCAGATTTATTAATACTGTTCTCGTCAACCACAACGAGATGCAAGTAGCGGTTAAAATTATATAATAATTTTGCAGATGTTTGACGCCAATCTAAATGAATATGGACATCTTTTAAATACTGTTTTTGTGAATCGATACTTGTGTACTGGTAATTTTATAGAATTTTTGTTAGTGAATTGTAGCTCTTGTGGGAATAATCCTGAATATGTTATCTTTGTGACCTGTTTGTCGGAACTGTTTGAGCAGCCCTGCTTAAGCCATGAAAATCACTTCAAAGCATTGTTAAAGTTCTGACCTGGTCTCTTAAGCCGGGTACAAACTGTGTTATAGGCTTTCAGCTTACTTCAGCAACGGTCTCTATAGCCATGTCCTCTGCTAAGATGAGTAGACTATTAATCACGCCGTTCTTAAAACACCATCACTGATACACACGTTTTCTCCTCTGTGTTTTCCTCATCTTAATGGTAATGTAACTTCAAATGATAGCTACGCATTTTCCGTGTGTCGGTAGTTGTTGTCCTGTGGATTTGCTAGCCAGCGTGCTTCCATTGGGAAACATTTAGAAGCAATCAGAGTGAGATCAGACAAAATATAAGTAGCAATCTGTCTTGTCAGTCAGCATCTTCTGAAAGCGAATGCATATAAAAGCAAAAAAAACATCAGCTTTAATTTTAAAATCTTTCAAGCGATAGAGATTATTAGCACACAGATGAATGACATATCTACAGTACATTTCAAAGTGGAAGACATTTTCAAGGTTGTAATTTTTAGTGTAATTTCAAATCCAGGCTCCAGAGGAGAGACACAAGGGTGTCTGATGAAAAACTTGGAAACGGTTAATGAGATATGATTTTTGAATATTTCAAAACTGGGGAAAAGGTGTGTAACCACATCTTTTCTCACCTTTTTCCTCAGTTTTTAAATATTCAAAATCTATATATTCATTAAAATGTTTTCAAGTTTTTCATCAAATACCCTTTTTGTGTCTTAAAAAAGTCAGTACAACATACGAAATAGACCCATCTTGTTAAAATCTTTCCTTCCTTATTTTTAGAATGGTATTGAATACAGTACAGTAGCAAGATTCACCCAGCTTTTAATCAGAGCCTTTTTTTAGCTTATTTGAAGGAATTTGTTTTATTTCTCTTTCTAGGGCCCAAATTTAAACTGGTGCATACACTGAAAATTCTTCATGAGGATAATAAATTGACTTTAATTGAGTCAATTAATTAAATCAATTTTAAATGAATTAAATCAATTTAATTTAGCTGTTAGCTGTTTTTTCTTCCTTGCTCTTAAAATCCCTAAGCCATTTATTGACATCCATCCAAAAATCAACAAACCTTACTCCACCCCCCCTTCTACAAAAAAAATTTCACGTGTTTAGTCATGAGACTTGTGGGGTTTTAATACAGTACTTAACGCTATGCGAAAAATGATTTCTCCCTACCTGAAAGCTATGACTCATACTTGAACGAATTCTTATTGTGTGATTAAAGGATGAAAGTATATGTAGGCCTAAACCACTAAACGATGTAAAAATAATAGTTTTGTATTAAACCACTCAAAAATGTACAACAGATGTATTCCATCCATTTCAGTGGCAAAAAAGCCACCGCTGGGTTCGCCACTTTGTTTTGAATTGAGATTTGCAGGTTGATGATTGTACCCTTGGTTGTTTTATTTTCCTGATGGACTATGTGGCAATTGGAATCGTAAAAAAAGTAGACCCAATCATGATGTTTTATGATTGTGATCGTAAAATAAGAAGACATAAGAGAAGTTTCAGTGGGTGACATTTATGCTGTAGTAAACCTCTCTTGTGGTATATAGAAGGATTTTACGAGTAATCAATAAAGTTCTACACTACCAATGCCTCCATAAATCTTTCCGTGGATCAAGTTGCACAAAGCTTTACTCCCAGGAAAACTTTATTAGCAGCCTCACTTAGTAGGAAAGACTAATTTAAATTGTATTTTCTCCAACAGACACTGAGTGATAATATAAGTTATTTAATAATAGTTTTTTTTTATAAACCAGATTTCTTTTTTTTTTTATTATTTGATTCCTCTCATATTTCAATATTGTATTTGGGTCTACAATATGGTGAATAATTCTAAACCAGCCATAAATCCGTCAAAGGTTCAAGGAGTTTGCAAAGGACAGTGGATGTCTGTATATTTTTTTTCTTCATCCAGACTATCATGTTTTATTGGACAAAAACATGTGACAGGCCTAAATATGACCATGATGACCTCACATCATGACCATATATAGGCACATCATGACTATATATGGGCATACAACATATTTGATCTGGATAGAACTTTAGAAATCATGTTTTTTTTTTTTCAAACAGTCTGTGGAAGTAGAGAAAGAGCTTACATCAAGGATACATCATTCATAGTCTTGGCATACCCTTTGTTGGCTCTGATTTATGTTACCATTGATCAATGTCTGTACAGTATTAGCAATAGATAAAATGAACCCACATCAGCTGTTTTACACTCTAATTATTTACAAGAAGAATAAACAGGTGAACATTAAAACGACTTTTAAGCCTGGTTCTCACGAGAGCCCTAGTATCCGGATCAGGCGCTAACCGTTAGCACCTGCGTGAGAACGCCCGATCGGTTATCGCTAACCATTAGCGGTATCAACAATTTCCAGTTCCTTATTGGCCAATGATTCGATCATCATATTGTTGGTATCCGGATCGTGATTTTCTGGCATGGACGCACGGCAGCTAACGGTTAGGATCCGGATCCTGCTAACCGTTAGCTGCCGTGTGAGAACATAGCCACAATGATGCAAGGATTATTAATAAATGTATTGTATCATAAAAACCAAGAAAGTAGTAGCAGTATTTAAAAAAAATTTTTACTAAAAGACCAAACTATTGATAACAACGTGCACCTTTTAAGTATCGTCCTACTTTCCTGACTACATACAAAATTTTAAGTATAAAAAAGTATCTTAATCAAATAAACTATGATTTAACAAAGAAATGCACATCCAATAAAAATCTTAACCCGGTTTTTGTGTTCTTCAAAAAGAACATATTGTGCCACCAGCAATGTAATTATTAGAAAAGATAAAATCAATGAATGCGCCAACCAACAAACTATTAAAAAAATTCCACCTTTTTTGTTCCTTCCAAGATTTGAACTTCAGCATACATATCAAAGCCATGTTTAATATTTTCTGAAAACTTGATTTGATGCACAACTTGTTAAGTTACATAAATGTCAATGATAGCGATAGATGAAACTAAATTTACTTGGACAGTTGTAAAATATTATTTTTAGCTAGTTCACAGGCGTAACTTTTGAAAATGAAAATGCTCAATTTGTGTTACTGATTGATAATTTTAATATGCTTTCAATTTCTTATTGGACTTAATTCTACCATAATAAGCACATATTGCTAGTTTTTCGTCGGTGTGTTTTATCTTACGACATGCATGACAGCTATTCCTCAACTCAGGAAATCATGAATACTGTATTCAAGTTTGTATTTTATTTATGGCACCGAAAAGATAGACCGTAAGACTGTTTACTGAATCGCAAGATTTTCACCATCAAACGTGAACTAGTTTTATAATAATTAAAGATTTTTGTTGGATTAATGTAGTTGTGAATGTTAAAACGACATGGAAATTCAATTTAATTTTGTAGTTGTCGGATTAAAAGATTACAAATTGTTCTTTTTTTACTTCAAAACCAAAACAAGATAAAGTAGTTTCACATTAATTAGAGCTTGTTCAACAGAGATATCGTAAATTGAAGATTAAATTCCAAAATTGAGAATACAAAATTTAAAGAAATAATTAATCGGACATCAAAGTATTTTCATGATTTTTTTCTTTTGGTCGCTGCCCTTGGTTTACTTTCACAAGACAGAAAGAACAACTTGAAAAACCTGTAGAAACCCAAACTTCAAAGTAAGCACTATTTATCAGAGTGTAACTAGACCGAGATATACAACTAAGTGTGATTACTACCTTTGTTCAAGAAAAATATGGGCTACATCCTCTTTTTCAAGGATGATGAAAAGCATTTTTTTTTTTTTGCCTAATGCTTTAATGATCCAAATATTTTGATTTGATGAATATAATCATGATACTCATATGTATTAGAAGATGGAATTTTATTGTATCAACTACAGAATATTATTTTAAACAAAAGGCACTAATTAATTATGGAATTTGTTCTGGTTTTTGTTAATTTGTTTTTCAGTTTACCTATAAATAGAGCAAAAAGTGGAACCCACTGTCTACAGTAATATATTTAATGATGTAGTCTGTATAGTACTTAAAATCAAAACAAATCTTTTTATCGTCCCTTAAAAAGAGCTGGTAAAAATATTATGAATAGAGTAATTTTCGCATCATCTAGTATTAGCCTATTTTTTCTAGGCCCTGCTGGTTGATAAGGTTGATGAATTTGTTGCAAACTTTGCCTCCTGCAGTTTACAATGATACTATTCATCTAAATCGCATTGCCAAATTCACGATTGTAACAGTTTTTTACCCTCAAAACCAGCATGACAAGCCATAGAGATTTATCTGTAGTTCCTATAGGCTGCTAGCAAATGACTCAAGGGAAAATAAGTCGGGACACTACACTGGAAATAGTTACTAGGTTACAATAGGCGGTATTCTCCAGAGTCGCTGATCACGCAGTTATGGATGCTTGCACAAAAGCCCACCATAGATTCATCTGCGACTGAACGTGACAATATCATTATTGACAAGAAGTACATGAAAAGCTGGTGATAGATTGATAAATGCTGGATGCTGTTCCAAGGAGAAATAAATTATGCTTGTTTTTGTCTGTGGCATGCGTTCAGGCTTTAGTCTGTCCACTTGCACTTCCTTCAAAAGTTCTGACCTTTGTTTTAATTTACCGCTCAACTTGTACAACCTCCAAAAAGCCTGTATCCAATTGCTCTCAATTTGTAGTAAATTTATGGTATTTCTGATCGTGATTTATGCTAATAAAAATCATCCGTGTCAAGATAAAATGAAGTATTAGATATTCTACAAGTCGGATATTCAATTACCAAAAGTCTGCAGCCTGCTTCCAGGAGTCCACCTTTTATATGCAGTTAAACTGTCACAAAACCCAATTGCTGGCACTAAACAACAGGTCAAACGAGGTCGCAAAATGCTATGCTTACTAAAAATATAATATATTCAGTAATCTTTAGAGTTCCTATGTGTATACCATTCAGAAACAATTACAAAGAGACTTATGTATTTATGTTTATTACAATCCTAAATGTGTTCTTCAATCAATTTGTAGTGCCTATTCAAATCTACTAATTTGAATACAGTGTATATCAACAATTCATCACTTCAGTCTCAACCTTTTTTTAAACATTTATGGTACATAAGCCATTCATTGTTAAGATTTATTATATGATTGATTGACTAAGAATCATTTTTGATGGAAAGGCGGCATAAATCTTGTACTTGATATTTAGAAATCTTAAAATTTAAAGGTTGCCTGAATTTTAATAATGGAAATACAACGTAAATTTAAATATATATATCTTAGGTCTTGAGTTTCATAAAATTGTGGTGGGATTTTTTTTGTGACATTTTAATGTAAAGAAAATGTTTTGAATTCCTTTGTGTGTCTGGCACAACTTGTAACTGAATCATTCTAAATCTTATCTGAACATCAAAACATTCTAGTTCTGGTGGATTTTTTATTTGGGAAAAAAACTATTCCAATATAATTTTCCAAAATTACAGCCACTTATTGCCCTTATGGTCAGTTTTATAGCCCTGCCTAGGAAAATGAGTGTGGTAGGTTATTTGTTAAACTATAACCATCACATGATGTCAGAGTCTGCCGATAGTATTTAAATTCAACAATATATAAAATATATTTTTTATAAATTTATTTTCATCTTTAAAAGTAATATGGTTTATCTTTAATCCTTATTAATAATTGTGTATGAGCCTTCTCTGATAATTGAATTTTTAATTAGGATTTTCTTGTAATTTTAATTGATGCTTATGATATTACTTATGATATTGCCTTGTGTTTGGTTATTCTTTCATACCATAGATTCAATTTTTCACCCAGCCTTTTTATGTTAAATTATAAGTGTTTTTCTACCAGTAAATGAAATGAAATTACAATGGCATATACAGTATTATAGTCTAAAAATTTGATATATTTTGTCACCTGACAATCAGTGTTAGGCTAAGTATGTTCATTTTCATATCAGTCAGTCTAACAACAGAGTAGACAATGTTCCATTTTTTAAAACAAATCAATGTTATTGTATGTGTTTGTAGTGATAGGAGTACAGATTATCATCAAATATTTGTTAGTGAGTGTTGCTTATTATAGTAAACATGATAACAGTACTATGTAGGTCGTATTTGCCTTATTGCTGATAACTATCCAGTGCTAAAATAGGATTAGGCCTATAGTCACTTTACCCAGGATTAATTTTTTTTTCTTTAGGCCTATGGTTTTATAGCAATTATTTATTTTTATTGATTTTTAATCACACTATAAGAACCAACTTTTGTGTATAGTTTACCTAATTCATGTTTATTCATTTAATTATTAATAATATGGTTTATTATGATTATAATTTCATTTTTGCATTTACAGTAATTCTAATGTAAAACATCTACATCAAATTTTTCTCTTTTTTTTTTTTTTTTTTTGCTTTATCTGAAAGATAATCTGTCATCCTGATTAGCAAACGGTTTGTCCTCAATTTTTGGTGAGGCCCCATAAAAAAATTATTAATTTATTACCCTATCAAATTTTAAAAACTGATGAGGGAGGGTGGTTTTGGTTTTTTTTTTTTTTTTGCTAACCCGCCCCTGTTTTGTCGATGTTCACAAGTAAATCAATGATTAGGTACTTATACATAAAAAGTCATTAGAATGGAATCAAATTTATATTTTAAAAAATATGTTTTTGTTGTACCAGTAAACATTTTTGCAAGTAATCCTGAGCTTTTCAAGTGAAAATAGATGGAAAAACGACCGTTTGAAATAAAAAATATATGTTGATTGAAAAAAAAAAAATCAGATTTTCCCCTAAATTGATGAGGGAGGGGGTGATAAATTTTTTTTTATGGGACCTAATTTGTAAATATTTTTGTATTTGTTATCAAGTAGTCAGGTATTGTCATGATAAATGAGTGGTTTATGTAATAGAAGTTTAATAATGTCTTTATTTTTATCCTTTTCAAGTTTACTATTCAGGTGCACTTTAAAGTATTTTTTTTTACTTTATTGTATTTATCTAATAATGCACATGGGCCAAGAGTTCTTAATAGAAAATAAATCACAATAGTTTTACTGTATGGCCGGCAATCCTTAGTAACATAACATCACAGACATGTGCTTGTGTATATAGACATGTATATGACAGTAAGCAATGTGGTCATTCTCCATGGTACACTGGCACACAATCTCCTACTATTTTCTGTTAAAATTTATTACCTTAACATAGATTATAAACATTTAATTTATGTGCCACAGTAAAACTCTAATTTAATGGCATGATACACTGGCTCTTAGATTTTTATGGTCTCTATATAGCCTGAAGATTTTTTGAAACTGTTTTTTTTTTTGTTATAACCACATTCATTCTTCCCCATATATTGTTAATGTACTCTGTGATTGTTTAATGGCCAGTCATGTTATTTTTTTCATTTCCCGATTTCTTTTCATTTTAGTCAATGGACTACATGCGACTTGTTCTAAAGTTGTAACAATAAAATTTAAAAAAAATTTAAAAAAAAACAACAAAGGTAAAGGAATAACCCATAACTCGCAGCTCCATTTTGCTGAATTGCGTATAGGCGTGGTCCGTGACCCTAGCGGCCGTAAAGAAGCGCTTAGAGTGGCTACATGTTCACATCATTCCACAACGACAGGTTGAAATGAACCATAGCATCGGGGTAACCCACTTCTGAAAGATGCAATGGTTATTTAAAGTGCACACGTGTCAGATGTGTACACTGGATCTCCATTTTAAGTTCTTATCCTAGAAGACTTAGTTCTACCAACCAAACCCTGGGCGAGGAGTGGGTGGAACCAGCACCGACGTAAAGGCTGTAGTTAGTGACTTGCCAGTAGTAACAGTAAGCCAATAAAAGGAGAACTGCTTTGTTTTCATACTATTTTTCATTCGTTTTAATACTATCATATATTTAATTCTTCAGACCGCCGCTTGAGGTGCCAATATTCCTGGTAGAGTTTAAGGTGATGAATGATACCAGTCATAGTCGTCATATCAGCTGGAAGATAGATGAAATGAAAAATGGTGAAGTGACTTCCACGAAGACAGCTACTAAGATCAACCTAAGCAGGGGGAAGGTGTTGGCTCTTATACCAATTGCAGAGGTTAGTATGAATAGCTGTTGAAATAGTTAAAATGGATGAAAAGGGGTTTATTCAAGCTAATAAACCTATTTGGCATTATGTATAAACAAGCATGATAAAACAAATAGTTTACTAAAAAAAAAATATTTTTTTACTCGAATAACATTATTTCACCTTTAAATATGACAATATTAAAACATGTACTGTAGTTTAAGGATTGTAATTAAATTTGATATAACAATAACATTACAATAGTAAAGATGTTTTGATAATTAGCTTATTATTGATTATTTTATTCGAAAATAACTTGAAATACTCTACATAACCCAAAAGTTGCCCATCCTTAAAATTGAAATTGGTGTTTGACCTCGCTTAACTTAAAACCATACTGTGTAAATAATAATGTACCGTACTAATGGAAATATGCACAGCCTAAATAATGAATTATAAACTAATGATTAATATTATTATAATTAATTATTACAACTATTAATTATTTTTGTTGAATAGGTTGTTATTGTATTGTTGTATAAACTATTATACTTGAGGTTAGGTGTTTTTGTTAAACATTGTAGTGTAGATGAAACAGTACGGATCAGAAGCACAATAAGCTGTGCATTGCCTAATCCCATCCCCGGTAAACACACACATTAGTAATATGCCAACTAATCCCTGTCAGAAGCCAAGGGTTAAGAAGGATTACTGTGCATACTCTGTGGTTGCGCTGCTGAGATTGTACATAATGGGATTGATATAATCTAGATTAATATCTAAAAGTAAGATATGTATGAGGAGCTTAAGCCGATTCAGTTGCTTAGGTGAGGGTTTCGTGTTATCTAGAATGTGATCCTTCGACCTTCCAGATGTTTAACAGCATGTTTGTTTTTTTTTTTTGTTTTTTTTTTTTTTTTTGTTGGGGGGGGAGGGGAGAGGGAGTGTAGGGATGGTGTTTACTTTGGGAGAAAACAATTCTTGCTGAATTAAACATCTTGTAAAGTTTGCAGTGGGTAGTGTATTATATAAGCTATTGAGTAGAAATGCTTGTCTTGTAATCCCAGTGTTCTGGGTTCAACTCCTGTCAACAGCCACTATCTAAGCCTAAACATAAGATTTACTTTATAGAACAGCACTTCCAAAATCCTGTTCAATCGTGAGTCACTCATTTTTCGATGAGAATTAAATAAAAAATATATAAATACACTACTTCAAAAGGAATTTTTTTTAAATTTTATAATAAAAACAATGTGAATGTGATGATAATATAATATATAGGTAAAGTAAAAAACTTTCTGTTTCTGTATTTAATAGTCTTCGTAACTGTGGGAGTTGCTAATGCAATTTGGATGCCAATATAGCACAGTGAGATTGGACTAAGCATGTTATATGGTTATATTGTATGTGCCTAATAGCAATGCCATATGTTTTGGATATTTTAAGAGCTATTTGTTGAGACTCATGTTGGCTGTATATCAAGCAATGCCCTGTGAACCACATCTATCTGCTAGCATAATATTATAATACGAAAACTGAAGCGTAACATATGGATGCATGGTCGTTCTTTATATGTTGTATTGTTTATCTTAAGGAAATCCTCATATTTATATACTACAACAAATTCAAAATTCTCAACAGTTAATTTAATATTAACAAATGGGTATACACAACAATTGTTTGCCTATCTTTTTGTTAGAATGTGCCCTTCCCTAGCGTCATGGAAATGCTGTGTTAACAAATAGGGATTTTATCAAGTATAACTTGCTACATACACTGCCTTATACAGTATATATTTAATCATGTTGAAAATATACTAATAATTATTGTATGTACTACCATGGGTCCCAAGTAGAAAGAAGTAATTTCCAGGAAATTGTTTAAACCAGCTTTCTTTGCACATCTAATTTATTCTTGCTACTTATGGTGATATTCCAATCAACACTGACTTCCTTGAGACAATTGATTATAATAAAGGGGTAATATAGTAATAAAAACATGCAGATTTATTGAATTCATGGGAGAGAGGTTATTTAAATGGAGATACTTGTCCCAATGCGGGAGTCTTGGGAGCCCTGGTATTACTTTTATGAAAATATGTACTTTGATAAAATACATTTTTTTATTAATAGAAATCTGAATTGCTGAACACTGCAGTCCTCAACCATGAACCAGTGATGGCTGAACTTAAAGTGTTTGCTATCTCAGAGGACCATGCGGTATTGGATGTCACTAGCCAGTCAGTTTGCTCCTCAGCTGATGACAACATATTGAAGGTATGTCCAATTGGGGTAATGCTTTTAAAGTTAAAAAGATAGATAGTACTTAAAAGTGCTATCCAGACTAACAAATGTGACTTAATTAAGTATGGTCATGATGACATCGTATCATGACCATATATAGGCATATCATGACTATACATAGGTATACAACATTTTTGAGTTTTCAAAGAACTGATTGTCTGCTAGAATACAGTATGATGGAATGAACTTCGCTTCCTGTACATTAATAAACAAACACTTTTATTTCATTTTTATAGTTGCCTTAGTTTAATGTTACAGGAAATTATTGAAATGTAGTTACAATTATTGTTTCAGTTTTGATACAATGTTTTCCGGGAATGCCTTTCCGTTGTTGCTGCAATAAATTTGCAAAAACTTATTTCAGTAGTTTCTTTAATGATAAGAACTTGGTTGTTTTTAGATATTGAAAAATATTTAAAATATAATTTACATTCGCCAAGATTGGTAAAGACGAAATGATAAAGGGTGAGGATAGGCGAATAACTTATAACTTGCCTCATTGCATATAATTGGCGTGGTCTGTGACTGCTTTAGCAGCAATTGAGAGAGGTGCTTAATTCACATGATTCCACGACATGGGCTGAAGTGGACCATAGCATTGGGGTAACCCCTACTCCTCAGAAAGATGCAATTGGTTCTTTAAAGTGCAAACAAGGCTGCATTTAGCGGCACCCCAGTTTTACCGCTCAGCCACTAGACTCGCTAAATTAAAAGTTTTTTTTGTGGATGTTTGTTCATTCCAGGTTCAACACAACTGTAGCTATGTGTTCTTAGATGGTAGTGAAGATGGAAGCACATCAGATGTCAGAATAACAGCCAGGTTTCAAGGGAAGTCAGTTGATCTTGGTCTGTGTGTGTGGATGCCAGAGCAATTAACCATCGAGCTCTCCGATCAGAAACTGAGTCTCATCAAGGAATGGAAGGTTCCGTACAGGGGCCTGAGACGGTAAGGCTGACGTCTTTTCTTTTATCTTTTTGAGGAGGGAAATGGTACTCTAGTCACATTGTTACGTTAAGTGCATTTTTTTTTTTTTATAATAGTTTATCATACAACTTTTGACAGTGACATTTTCAAAGATCTGTGATATCTATAAATTGTAAAGGGGAAACCATGTAATCTATTTTAATAGAAAATGGAAAAACTATTCCAGTGTGATGCATACATTTTATGTAATCTATATTAGTTGATGTATTTGAGAATGAGTGATCGGATGCACTAAGCCTCCGCATCGGAGGTGTGAAGGAGGCTTGACACTTCCGATAATGCATGTTCCAAATGAATCAAATGAAACTAGTTTTTTAAAAAGCTGTCTTCCGATCATTTTGTCATGCTACAAACTAATGCAAGTGCCATCCTTTATAATCTGCATTCTTACATTGTCAGGTATAGACGTTCTCTTACGGATAACAAGTGCAAGCTTCGTTACCAGCAAGCCACTGTGACAGTCTACACGCGCTTCTACACCAAGCATGCTAACTCAGGTAACACATTAGACAAATAGCGCCCTCTTTGACATTTCAGCATTGCTGCAAGTGTATACTAAAAACTAAAATTACCAAAAAAATAGCTTTCTGAATTTGTTCTTCTTAAAGCTAATAATAGCGCCCTCTTTGTCATGCCATGATTACTGCAAGTTTTATCCACATTAAAATTGATTTTTAAAAGGCATTCTGCATTTTGTTCTTTTAAATAAAATAAATAGTTAACATTTTGAAAATGTCATGATTCAGATCATAAAATCTTAGTAGTAGTAAGTCCGTAGGCTATTTTTTTTCCTTTGTTATTTTTGTAATTTTTTTTTTATTTTCCCAGTTGGCTAGGCTCTAGTTTCTAAGGTCTGGTTTTTTTTAGAATTGGTTGGAGTTCGAGCGTAGGCAAGGCGAGGCAATTCGTTGTTGAATTGCCTTGTTGGGCTGAGAAGGCCCATACCTTACGTTCCGTATCCGAATAACTTGGGGTTCGTAAACGAGCGATCTAATGACATACCCTCTGGGCATTATGTCATTTTTTACTTATCCGGTTTCGTTGAAAGTTCGTAAACACAACCTATTTTTATTTTAAATATTAAAATAATCTTAAGGTAGTATTCAAAATTGATTTTTATTAGACTAATTAAATAAAACTATTTTTGAAGAAATTTTCTTAAAAATTAATATTATATCAATATTATAACAATAATAATTAATAATAGGTAAATTTATACGGTGCAAATAAACAAAGCTATCTAAGCGCCAGAATTATATTTTTAATTATATTAAAAGCAATAATTTGAGTCTGTATTTTATATGGCATTGTGAGATCATGTGACATAATTGACCAATCTCTATGATTAGGGAGGAAAGTTTACATGTTTAACAAGGACATTAGGGAGGATGTGACCAATCTACTGACCACTGACCAGATCACTACCAGTGACCCAAAAGTTGCAACCGTTGACAATCTTATTGTGTATGGCCATTCCGATGGCGTTGTCTCTGTTCAGGTAAATGTGAATTTATTTTTTGTTATGAATATTCAACAATAAAATCTATCATTAATAATTCTATATTTCAGAATTATTATTTTTTTTTTTTTTAATTATTTTTATATTACAGGGATTAGGTTTTATTGTGTTTAATTACTTTCACAAATTTTACTTTTACAAAATGTTACACAGCTTTTTTTTAATTTATTTATTTGTTTAACTTAAATATTTAAATATACAGTAAGTAATACTATAGATGTTCTTGCCGGTGACTAAATTATAATGAAATTAAACAAACTAAAAACAAAAATTAAATGAAACAAAAAGAAACAAAACAAAAAAGTTATTAAAAAAGAGGACAGCATTTAACTTAAAACAAAAAGTAAAGAAACTCAAAAAGAAAATAAAAGATAATACCAAATAAAGATAAATCTATTTATATCCCAGGGCTATTAGGTCTTAAAATCCGGAATGTAGGATGTAGGTCATTTACATTTCGATATACCCCGCTGTTATTTTCCATTAATCTAAAGATAAAAAATTATAATTTGGGAGGTTATTGTTCTTTAGCTAATCCCAATTTTCACTTAATAATATATTATATTTTATATTGAATATATTAATATGTTTACAATATTTACTAAAATGTATTCAGAACAAGTAAAGTAATTAAAAGTATAGTGATAGTTCGTATAAAAGGATAGTAATGATACAATTATACAAATACATAAAAGTAGCTAACTTAAAATTAACATAAATGGTGGTTGATTTATGTTGTAGTTGGTGCATTATATACAGCCTTTTGGTAAGCTTGACATTATTATTATTAGCCTTCAATGTTCATCCTTTAATACAGACACATATTGTGCTGAACCATGCCTTGATCAAATTCCAATCTCTTGGGAACTGTGCCTAGTTAGTTGCTAATTTATTTTGGCATCTATGAATACATTCTCCATTAGAACACTGGCAAGCAACCAGGTACTACAGGGCGAAAGAATTTAAACATAGATTTAATGCACTGATCTGTTTATCATGGGATTTGAACTGGGATTCAAGCCGGTAAGCTTGGTCTCGTAGGATTGAAGCTGGCCATACCGATTTCTTTTTCCTGTCAAGCTGACATTTTCTGTTGAAAATTCACCTGATAGAGAACACTGTGTGGTTGAAAGATTGTGTATTAATACAAATTGTTAGTCCATAAAGTGCTGTTTGCCTTTAAATTAATGATTGTTGTTGAGTTTGGGAATTCCAATTTGGGAGAATTTGGGGGGTGGGGGTTTCAACAGTGCATGCACTGAGGAAGCAGTGGGTCACACTCAAGTTTTATACTCTCTTGAAAATGATTTTAAAAAATGGATGATCCCAATATTAAAGGGACCAAAGGAGATAAATATAGGACTTGTACAAACATGTATAAACCGTTAGTAAACTATCTAATCATATATGCATGATTAGAAAAACTCAAAGTACTTTTGTAATAGGTGGGCCGTGATTAGATAGAGTAAATTACTGATAAAAAGTTGACATAATGTCTTATCTAAATAACAAACATGGATTCTAATATTAGGCCTAGTTCTGTAATAATAGAAGACAGGCAAAAAGTAAACATTTTTTTTATTCATATCTCAATTCATACCTTGCAAACAAATGACATTCAAGGTAAAAGAAGTTAAAAAAAATAAATAAATAACAAGAAGATAAATCAGATAAACATATTATAGTATAATAAAATCCCCAGTAAATATAGTGACTGATAATAAACTTGTTTTCATTAAACTTCCTCCAACAATAACTAACCAGTGAAGTACAAGGCAAATATACATAAAAATCATTACAAGACAACGTTGAGTACTGTAGACTACAATAGGGCTATGTTCTCACATGGCTGCTAACGGTTAGCGGTATCCAGATACTGCTAACGGTTAGCGCTAACCGATCTGGCATTCTCACGCAGGTGCTAACAGTTAGCGCTAACGGTTAGCTCCCGATCCGGATACTAGGGCTCTCGTGAGAACCAGGCCTAAATGTAAAGCCAGACACTCGCTGCGTTGTACGACGGTTGCACGACCATCGCACGACAAATCCAACGCCACTCCATGTAAGCGCTAGACGTCACGGCACCGTGTGCCGATTGTTTTCTTCTTTTTTTCATTTCCATTGCGAAGGAACATCTGTTGATGTTTAGCAGTTAGAACGGATCATCATTAAAAACGATTTTTTGCGTGCGCGTCGTCGCATTGTGTTTTGCATAGAATCGCATCGGCTGATGACCCTCTGGCACAGTGGGTGCCTGGCATAACAGAAAATACATGCATTGATCATAAACTTCATATAAATTTTAGTTAAAATGTGAAAGAAATCCATGTCATGATTAATATTAAGCTGTTTTTTGTTTCCTATTATTTTAGATTTTGAAAGGCACCAAATCAATAGCTCATAAGGAGTTAACTGTTGGTGGAAGAGATAAAGTATCTGTGACCGATTTGCATATCTCCATGGTGACTGGACTGAGCATGCAGAGTGTGAAGAATGTTGAGGATAAGCGTTTGAAAGCAGTACGTGTGAAGGCTTATGATCAGCTCATTGCTAAATATCAGGTTTGTTTGTGTGTTTTTATATTATATGGTGGTCGCAAAAGTTAAGCCATGTCCAGACTATCAAATTTGATTTGAAAAAATCATGTGACATGTCTAAATATGGTGATGACGACATCACATCATGACCATATAAGCACTTGAGTATATATGGGCATACAACTATAAATCATTGAAAACCGATGTTTTTGAACTATGACATAATGAAAGCTGATAACTAAAGATCTGTCCACACTATCAAATTTTGAGACAAATTTGTGTGATGTGACCATATAATATGATGATATCATTTTTTTGTGACATAAAATTTATTAGTGTGGACAGAGCTTTATGTGGTTCTTTTAAACAGGGGTTTTACATTGGAAGAAGCCACTTTTGTGGGGGGGGGTATCTGGTTTAATGAGCTTTCTTAACATCTAATTTTATTTTGCTGCTCGTGATGATAACCATCACCAGATGACTTCCGGGAGACAATTGATAGTACACTAGTAAAAACACACAAATATTAAATTGCAAGATATGGATTAGTTTCCGGAAGATTTAAGCTCCCCAATTCTGTAACAGATTTGCTATTAATGATATATAAATATTTTTAGTTTGATATTGACATAATTAATTTAAATTGAATTGACAACCTACAACAGAAAGAGATTTTAAATGGAAAACGTTTATTATAATACTTTTTTTTTTTTTTATTAGGAAGGAATTTTGGATGTTACTTTAGGATTCAGCGATGGTGCTATTCTTCCACTACGCCATGTCTCAACTGAAGACTACTATATAAAAACAGTGAGTCACAATCGGAACATTGTGATGGAAAGGTTGGACGATAGTATCCGCGAGGCGCGTGTAATAGCTATTGGAGAGGGCGCAACAACTGTGAATGTAGAGCTTCAGTTACCAAGAATGTGCCACAAAAAACACAAACCAACTAATGTAATCTTGTCAAGAATTTACCCGGTCAACGTATCATTCGCAGCTGAGGATGTTCAGAACAGTTTGAGAAGAATCGGAGAGGAGGAAACATCTATAAACAAAGCTGCACCATACCTCACTACAGGTGACATCTTGCAACAAGGCAGTTCAGTTGATCTGGGAATTGTTCATGTAAACTTTGACCCTAGTACCTATGATTTTGGATTAGAAAAGGTGTCTGATGGAGAAGGGAAAAAGAAAGATAAAGTTTTTTCCATCCCTTTGGACGAGATTCCTTTTGGTTCAAAAGATGATGTAAATAATGACCCACATTATGACAATGATGAAGAGGAAATGGGCAATTTAGATAATGAATTAGAGGATACAGACAAATCGTCTGCCATGGAAATTGGGATGTATGTGATGTTAACTGTGTTTGCTTTAGCTATTATCGTGTTCTTACTCAACTGTATGGTGTACATGTACAGAATTGGCCGTAGAAAGAAGGCACCACCTAGTGTCATTGGAAGCACTTACACCAGTCCAAATGAGAGCTGGTCGTGGCTTGGTCGACAGGTAGATTCTGATGCAGTCTTCAAAAGACACAACGGAGAAGCTTGTGATTGTGGAGAGGGCAAGTCAGATGTCCCAATGACCCAAGTGTACACCGAGAGTGAGGTCAGTGTTGAACACCACAGTACGTCTTGCTCAGAATCACCAGTTGAATCCGGCCACCATGACATCAGCGAGACAAACATGGAAGAGGAGGAAGAAGAGATAAATGTTGCTGATGAACCTCCTCCAGTTGACTCGGACCCAGCTGTCAGTGACAGTAAAAAGGAGGAGCCAGAAGAGGTTATAGAAGCAAGGCCTGCTGAAGAAAATCCCTTGCTTGAAGACATTAAAGTGACTGTTAACCCATTGCCAAAGGATGCCATCACGGAGCATGAAGAACCAATGGAATATAACAAGTTACTTAAACACTTACAGGCACTTCAGGAGGAGATCCTAGCATAGTTAATAATTTTAGACCCAAATGCTGATGTATATTTAACAAATTTTATTTACAAATTTTTAAGAATGTTTATAAAGGAAGAGTGTCTTTAATATCTGTGAACCCCTGTATTTTTATGATCTTTACAATGTCATAATTGCTGTAATGGTTAATTGGTTTTTTTTTTTACATTCAGAAAAAAAAGATATAAAATGAATTAAAATAAATAAATCCTAACATTTTAAAGCCAATCTTTAGCTAAAAATTAGTCATCACAGAAAGTAAACTGTTCCTGAGATGAATGGTTTTGTGATGAATTATTTCAGTGAAATGTTATTTTGAAATATAATCATTACATTAAATTTTATTTGTCTGATTTCACTGAAATTTGTACAGATTTTCCAAAATGCCAAGGCTGGCCAGGGGTGCTGTTGTAGCCTGACATTGCTAAGGATAATGTCTTCTGTATCCACATATTTCATGGATGAAGATGATTCATAAAATTTCGAATTTCAGATTGTATAAGTATGGGTGTTCACAGTTAAATTGGCTTTGTCTACCAACATGGTAATATTGTTATGGTGTAGACAGGGTAGTTGGCCAATCTGTACATTTGAGTATTTATGTCTAGCAGTGAACAGTTACCTTAATAGCCAATCCATTGTTCATCATTATTCTTATATTGTTCCTGCTTCAAATTGTTCAAATAAAATAAAAAGCAGGTAATTTTCATAGTTTTTAAACATTTTCTATCTAATTTTTAAAAACATTATATATATGCTATTATTTCTATTACTTAATTTTTCAAAGATAGATTTTAAACAGTTCTGTTATGATAATTGGTTTTAATTACTTAATAATATAATTGGTTTAATTTTTTTAATTGGGCAGACGGTCATGTTTTATTTAATTAATTCTTTATAACCAATAAAATAATGGTATTAAAACTTATTTTTAGGTGGGGTTTTTCTTTTTTGATGTAGTAGAGCCTACCCAGGTTTATATCATTGTTTTATGACAATGAATGCGCTGTGAAGATAGCTGGGTAAAGGTTAAGCTTGATGACAACTGTTTCCAGGGCTGAGGTAGACAAGTTAGGTCACTTCATCCTAGAAGTTAGCTAATTATTGAGTCTACTTTGTGAATACTATTTCCATGTTTCAGTGGTGGCACCATCACTTAACTAAAACTAGTTGACTTGTCTGTCCCAAAGTGCTGTACATACACACATGCAAGCAGTAGATTTCTCCATTAAGCATCACTGTCATCCTCATTGTTTTTTTTTCTGGCTGTAAGTGAAGCAGAATCCACCCATAATTTATTGTACAGTATTAAGCTTATAAGCATTTTGCCCAGAGCCAGTCAGTTTAACTTGGAATAAGTTCAGAGTTCGTACAGTAGGTATTCTGCCCATACAATTTAGAATTTATTTTGCTTTATCCATATTCAACAGCTGCTGACACAATTTAACTGTATAATTCCTGATAAGGTCCCTTAATATTTTTTTTTCCAATTCTGGACATAATCTGCAAAAAAAGAAAAAAAAAAAGAAATCGAGTATGGGACACTAATTGAATTTTGTATGGCATGCATTATTATGCGCTATAAGAAGTGAGTAACCCAAATTTAGGGCTTGGAACAAAGGCTAAAACAAGTGTTGTCCACCAGCCTACAGCCCTTTTCTATTCAGTGGCCACATCATCTTATTATCTATTGGCAGTGTTATTTTACATGGTGCTTGAAACCTTTAACCTGCATGTTAAGAAATAATATTTAGGGATCTATATGTTTGCACGCACAATGTGTCTACTTCAAGCTGAATCAATTTAATTTGTCATTGCAATGAAATAAAAAGAATGAAATTAGATTCTTGAAAATTATGACCATTTGCTAGTCTTATTATAACAAAATTATTTTCTGATACAGCAATATTATTATTCCTTTTGCCATATGTTATAGTGTATAATCTTTTGATTCCATTTAATTTGTTTAATTTATGTTTGTTGATAGGATTTTCTGCAGTTTAAATCCTACATTGAAATTGTGTTGAAAAGTGTTCATAAATAATTCTACAGTAATACGTTTAGCTGAAACAAATTATTTTTCTTGTCACGACAATGACAGCAATTAAGCAACTAATTGGCACAAACTAATTTATATGATGTCTGTAATGCTGATGTTTCTGCCTGGTCAGAGGTCAAACCATTTCTTGTGCAGAAGGATGGTATGATACCATTATTTTTATTTCTTATACTCAAGACAAAATGTTACACAGATGCTCATACTAAAATCACTGAGTCTTCACACAAATGAAATACTGTATAACCTTACTGTCCACAATTTGACATAAGCATGTGACATGCAGCCTAGACATCACACCAAATATAGGAACATCATGAATATGGGCATACAACAGTTTTGTCAAATAGACAGGCCCCAGGAGCATGCAAACAGATTTATAGTATATATTGTGGGGTGTTATACTGTAGGCCTCATGTTTTTCTAATAAGGTTATTACATGGAGTGGAAGCACATGCAGGGCACATCTGGTGTAAAATTTTTGTCCTGTATTAATCAGGTATTGGTGATTAGCAGCATATTCATTACATTAAGACAATTGTGGGAGCGGCTGCATTTTTGTCTCTTGACCTCGAGGTCGGGGGGTTGAAATGCACCTATTAAAGCAAACAAAAACTGGCTGTGCTTTTGCTTGTTCCTTGGACAAGACACTTTACCTACATTTGTATATGTATATTTGTATAAATGGTTACCTGGTTGAAATATACTGGGTGTATATGGGACTACCTTTTCCTTACGAAAATAAAGTAGAATTTGTGTACGTCATAAAAAGCAACCATAGGATTACTAGCAACAAATAACCACAACTAAATCTTAAGCATGTTGCATCAATGTTTGTAAATTTATTGTATAGACCATATTAATATTGTACATAAATATATACATATATTATATATATATTTGATTTCTACCATTGTTCAAGCATACGCATGTAGATTCAAGCACAGTTACCGATGCCTAAAATATTGCCGGAACAAAAATAAAATCTTTGTACAGTAAATCGACAATCATTAGTTGCGAATTGTCACTTGTCAGAATGCAATTGATTAATATGTTCATGGTATAGAAAGAAATTTTCATTAAATAGTAAAACAATTTTATCATGATTTGCCAGTATATATTCTTTCTTATATAATTTCAATTTTCTTGTTTAGCAAAATATATTAGTATGATTTCATAAACACTTGCTCACAATGAATAATTAATATATCAAAACCTACACTCTCTCTAATTGCAACTTATCCATAGCTTTATCATAATGATTTTAATTTAAAAACATGTGTTTTTGAAGACCAATTTGCTTGCGAGTTGTCCATTGGTTTAAATCTGAAAAATGTATAAATTATCTTGTTTTCTCCTGTGACCATGTTAACCAAATGTATCTTACAGTATTAACAATTGCTTTTCTTAAGAGAATTATTTTTCTACTGACCCTTCTGTCTTTCCAGCAAATGTCATCAATTTGTCCGTTAGTTCTTCTGGGGTGATCTTAGGGTTGTCATTCAGGAGTTGCTCAAGATGTGCTTTACCAAGCTTTGCCTTGGGCCACGGTTGTGATAATACAGTGTTGGAGACACCATAAAAACCTGGAATAACAATAACAACAAAAAATAATGGGAAAGTGAATACAGTAGTAATCAAAAAGGTCTTGGGTTTGAATCTTGTGAGCCTGATCTTAATGGAGGCGTTAATCTATACCAAAATTAATTTCATATTAATGAATTAAAAATTGTGTAGCAATTTGGCTCTCTTTCACCATGTTTTCCCTAAAACAACACAGACATATACACACATACTGTACTCAAATAAGCGTAGCAGTGCTCATAACATTTTTGAAGGCTTCAGATCGGCACTTATTACAAGTTACTGAAGTTTGTTTTTGATATTAAATTATTATTTGTTTTGTATTTATAGAGGGGCAACATGTTTGTGCATAGGCTTTTCTGACTCGCCTGTTGCGTTGGTATTTAGTCAATGAAAAATTGGTTGTTTGAATTGGTTGTCGGAAGATAAAAAATATCCAGGCACTCCCAATTGGGTGACTGCTGGCTGCACCCTGCATTTACTGTACATGAACATTATTCAACTATATAAACTTGTTCTATGTTTTTGTGTACCACGAGGCTTCACAGTGATGTGTTGATGATATTTTATGTGATATACCTGCCAACTTCGTGCAGGAGACAAAAAAAAAAGTAAAATGTGTAAAAATCATGATATACTGTAGAGCGCCCTGTGTTAATTGTTTTTAATTGTAGTGGAACTGCTACTGGTCGGTTTGTGCCGTAATTCACATTTTAATAATGTTTTCACTTAATTTTTACGGATTTTGGGGTATAATGGACCTTTATATTTTATCTTCTATTAAATTGTTAAGATGCGTGAGATAATACAATGTATGCTCAAGATGTAAAAGTGGATGCTCATGAGTGAGACTCGCGCATTATTCATGAGGGTTAACAGGTGTAATGTCATGATACTGTACTCGTATTTCATTTTAACAGTTGGCTGGCTACCTACCAGATTCTAATTTAACTGGGTCACTTTCTGACCTATTGCTATAGTAACAAACCTCTGACCTGGCATTACTGAAAAAAAAAATTATTAAATACTGTATGTTAGTATTTGAGGAATATCTGGTAGGGTTTGCTTAAAAAAGTGTATGTAATGTATATTTATCCTGGCATTATTTATAAGGATCAACATGTAAAAATTATTTCTGCCATAATATTGTTGTGGTATGTCTGTGGTATTGTTGCTACCTGAAGTCCATTGTTATGAGATTGAAACCATTATAATCAGATCCAGTGAGCTGATTCATGTATGAGCAGCCATCGGTGTCACTTGATAAAAAATTTGTTACTAGAGAGCCTGAGAAAAAAATGAAAGTAAACGGTTAAAATGTGAATAATCGCAATATAAATTTCCTTTAATGGAGCAAACCGACCGACAACTGTTTTAAAATATCGACCAAGGTCATTCCAAAATCAAGCATGCATGTGTCAAACAGTTTATTCTGCGCTAGACCTGGCAGGATCATCTTTTATAACTGCCAGGATGTTTACCTATGCACACATTTTTTTTTGGGCTGTTTTTGGTTCTGGAATGAGGCCCAAAAAATTAGGACATGAGAATGAAATTAAAATTTTTTTATTAGCAGTGGCTATTGTTACACCAGTCCTAATTCTGATTGGATGTTATTGTATGTATGAATTGGATTTGGACTGGTGTATTAGAAAAAGCATTGCCAATTTTATTTGTCTTAACAATATTCTGATTATAAGGTTTATCATGGTAAGCCTAGAAATGGTGCCCCTTTCCAACTCAAAGGTTCTTTGTTCTGGGCCTGTCATTGTGGTTGGAAAAAACAAAACCTTCATCAGAACCTTTGGAATTTTCATGTCCTACAGTGTAATCAGTCTGTATAGTAAGACCTGTGCCGGAAATGTATCCTCCGTGCAAAAATTTTGCCTAGAAATTCGTCATTTTGTGCATTTTGGAAAATAAGGCCGGATTTCCGCCTGTCTCTTATACACATCTTAGTGTATAATCTTTTGATTCCATTTAATTTGTTTAATTTATGTTTGTTGATAGGATTTTCTGCAGTTTAAATCCTACATTGAAATTGTGTTGAAAAGTGTTCATAAATAATTCTACAGTAATACGTTTAGCTGAAACAAATTATTTTTCTTGTCACAACAATGACAGCAATTAAGCAACTAATTGGCACAAACTAATTTATATGATGTCTGTAATGCTGATGTTTCTGCCTGGTCAGAGGTCAAACCATTTCTTGTGCAGAAGGATGGTATGATACCATTATTTTTATTTCTTATACTCAAGACAAAATGTTACACAGATGCTCATACTAAAATCACTGAGTCTTCACACAAATGAAATACTGTATAACCTTACTGTCCACAATTTGACATAAGCATGTGACATGCAGCCTAGACATCACACCAAATATAGGAACATCATGAATATGGGCATACAACAGTTTTGTCAAATAGACAGGTCCCAGGAGCATGCAAACAGATTCATAGTATATATTGTGGGGTGTTATACTGTAGGCCTCATGTTTTTCTAATAAGGTTATTACATGGAGTGGAAGCACATGCAGGGCACATCTGGTGTAAAATTTTTGTCCTGTATTAATCAGGTATTGGTGATTAGCAGCATATTCATTACATTAAGACAATTGTGGGAGCGGCTGCATTTTTGTCTCTTGACCTCGAGGTCGGGGGGGGGGGGGTTCAAATGCACCTATTAAAGCAAACAAAAACTGGCTGTGCTTTTGCTTGTGTCCTTGGACAAGACACTTTATCTGCATTTGTATATGTATATTTGTATAAATGGTTGAAATATACTGGGTGTATATGAGACTACCTTTTCCTTACGAAAATAAAGTAGAATTTGTGTATGTCATAAAAAGCAACCATAGGATTACTAGCAACAAATAACCACAAATAAATCTTAAGCATGTTGCATCAATGTTTGTAAATTTATTGTATAGACCATATTAATATTGTACATAAATATATACATATATTATATATATATTTGATTTCTACCATTGTTGAAGCATACGCATGTAGATTCAAGCACAGTTACCGATGCCTAAAATAT